TTTATAACTACAAGACACCTAAGTGAAACTCGAGAACAGCAAACCCAGGAAGCTTTCAGACCTGATCATGAGTGCATCGACCACAGATCTATATCCTCCGCTAGATATGAGAAGAAACTTAGCCGACAATAGCTGTTAATTGACCTCAGGATGGCACTTGACTTCGATGATCGACAAGTCTTAGGGCAATGTCTGTTGCTGAAAGCGGTGTCGAGTAAGTACATCCTTCTAGTGAAGGATCTGTATTTGAACACGTGAGCGTATAAGGGGTTATGATGAGCTATCAGGCAAGTCCTATACGTCAAACGGTGTCCATCAGATAAGTCCACCTCCCACTTTTCACCTAACTTCATCACATACGTACCTACGAAGGCGCCTCTTCTAGTTTGACTTCCCAGGGGCTGAGCTTTTCACAAGGAAATCTCTAGTAGACCTAGTGCACACGAATGACATCCTCTTAAGTGAAGATGCTAACAAGATGCATTTTCCTGCACATGAGCGAAAATTTCAGAATGCTTGGGATGACTTTCCCACCACCCAAATGCAAATCATTACCTCAAGACTGGTCCAATTAGATAGATCATCTGACGATAAGGAGTGAAGTAGTATGTTGGAGTTTGTAACCTCCCTTCGTAATTGAAGTGTCTGAACACGCTCACTATTCCACACACTTGAGAAATTGAATCAGCCCAAATGGTTCAGTGACTGACGAAATCTTGGCAAGGATACAAAGGGCTTGGTTGAATTTCGCCATCTCCTAAAGCCACCTATCACGTCGACCACTTATAACATGACAGATAGGGTTGGAGGAAATGAGAAAGCCTCAGGTCTCCGGTTATCACAAACTTTTGCAGCATTCCCCGAGTGTCTTGGAACTACCATGTAAGGAATGTTGAAGTTTGGTGTAGATTTTTAGACAAAAGGGGAATGTCAGCTGATATTGTAGGCCATTGAAGTAGTGGGGAAATGTTCTACTCAGTTAACGTCGTATCTAAGATTCTAAGGTACATATTCATTTAACGCCTAGCTGGAAGTTAAGAATGTCAAACTAGACAAGACCAAACTCGCTTCACGTCTGAATAGTGTATTAATCGTATTTTTGCTTCTTGACTTCACTGGAACAAAGATACAGCAACCAGTATCCGATACTCGTTATATTTCTCGGTCTGGAAGTGGTCTAATTCCATCGATCAAGAATTGTTGTTCGAGTGCGACGGGAATACCGATTAAGTACATCATGTTAACCAAGACTTCTAACTAAAACTAATGCAACTGATAAAGATTACACGGAGAGTCGCTATTTGAGGCATCCACAACCATTGGTGTTTCTCAGTGATCCTTCTTAGTTTTTAGCGTTCAAATTTGCCATACACGAACTGATGGATTCAAACCTAGTTACCTTTGACTTCGAAAGGACTAACTTACTCCTAATAGGACATTGGGTTGACTGTTAGTGTTCAGACAACAGTCCTGTTACATGAAAATGTCAAAAAATTGCTGTAATTTCTGAATATTTTGAGCAGACATAGGTGTTCGGCGTATGCTTTGAACATTTGAATATACGATGATGCATCAGGACTGATTCCCCACCGAATACTAGTTCAAGGATGCGGAGTAAATGATTGTACGTAATTCCCATTCCACTTTCTTAGAAAGCTGTATTACCCCTATGGATAATTTCGCGGTAAAATCTCAGCTGTGATATTAAGGCCCCACTTGGCATCTTCCAGTTTAGGGCATCTCGAGTGTCAGAGGGACTGGAATACCTGTCAAAGAATTCTGCTGAGCAGTAGATCATCCTACCTTCTACGGTTGTTAAAAAAGGAGACAAGTAAGTTACAAGCTGTTTCATTGGCGTCACTGTAGCATGCTTGGAGAGTGACAGGACCACGGAATGAAACGTAGGGAAACAGATGAAAGTTCATGAGATTGTGAAATTTCATTGACTGAAGTGGCTCATACACGCGCTACATATGTCAAGTTATCTTTCTCACGTCTATGTTGGTGAAAGGTTAGGCTACAAGGAAGTTAAAGGTGGTCCAACCAAAAGTTGGCACTAACGAAAGAAATCTGCTGAATGACTGAGGATAACTGAAATGCAGGAAGTTGAAGATTGGATATATTAACCTAATCATCGTAATTTGGAACATTTTCTGCTCTTCATTTACTTTCTCCCTCTCTCATATACAGTTGTTCCTTTATTGTCATTCTCCTGTGTTGTTTGTCTTCATCTGCAGTTATGAAAAGTGGTATCTTGAAATAAAGTAATTTTGTAGAAGGTTCTGTCCCACTATGTTGTGCGCAGATGAGGTGAGGAAGACTGGACAGTTACACAGTAATAGCAAGTCTGTGTTGAAACATAAATGTTTCCCTATTTTAACATTTCTGCATAAACCACTAAATATTTGATTTCACTAGGCACTTATCAACGATAAGAATGACTACGAGCAAGTGCGTTGGAGATGCAAATCTAGTTATTTAATAACGCCTATGAACGCTCTCCATACAAGTCTGTTGCCAATAATACTGCTAATTTCCTGATACTCACACACTTGGAATCCTTTTAGTACAAGTTAAGTGTCGGAGGATTGAGTTCGAAAACTCTAAAACTTCCGTTGGGTAAGTTTATCCCATTGCATTTCTTTCGTAAGACTAAATTGACACTCCGTTGAACAGTGAAGATACAGGTTAATTGGAAATTAACTTAAGTGTGTTCAATTCTTTGCTTGTCAATTCAATTACCTCTGGAACACTGACCTACCTTCCAAAGTTTAGATGACTATTCAGATTCCGTTTTAATGTGGGTTAATCAAGTTTTGTAACGAGGGTAGCTATATGAAAGCAACTATCATAGTTTGAAACGTTGAAGACAACAAATCCCAGAAAACGGATTGCTTGGTTTAATTAGGGCGTGGTACTTATTTTACGCTAGTTAACAAGAAAGGTGACTTTTTGTCAGAACAATCTGTCTGTGCATACAGCAATAAAATAAGCGATAAAATGCAGTTTTTGATGCGATGAATCGAAAGTACAACTAAACTTGATACAGGTTTATGCGCTAGATTATGAGCTACACTAGTTGTATGAGGGTTTGTGATACTACCCCGTTGCCCAGGAAGAAGTAGATGAAGTAGGATCAAACCTGACTTATTGCTTGAAAATTGACGTCTCAAACAAATGGTCTATATCATGAGGCTGATTAGTAGGAGAGATGTGCAAACATAGGGTCCTATATAACGATTTATGTGAGGGATGGAAAGCTCTGGAAGTTCAATGAAACTTAGAAGATAACTAATTAGCGTACTAAACCCATGAACATTTTATAACTTGTTGGAGTTATGAAGTGATCCTTGGGAGTTGTCATGCTAAACGACGGTGCCTAAGATTGTATGGTCTTCACATGCATCAGTCCTTGGTCTTCATACCTTACGCTGGAATGCCAGTGGTATCTATTTCATTCCTGAACATTCCACAAGCGACCTAAAAGAAATGAAATATATCATGGGAGAAAATATGGACGAAATCTGTTTGTTGAATGTCCTTGGCAAACTATAGGAATAGGGGACAAATTTTACAACCAAAAAGTAAAACCGTTCAAAATTAGATTGCCGCAACACTCCCTACGATGAGGAACTTACAATCTCTGAAGCGATATTAGTTAATATCGACAAAGTTAAAGATATCCACATGACATAATAATGTAAATTGATGGCCGATGTGTGCAGTAATGCGCTTTCTACTACTGCATGATTAAGACGACCATTCAGATTGCAACACAATATGTGTGATAGGACTACTAGGTAAGTAATACCAGTGTTAGGTTTTAAAACCAGAAACAATCAAGAGTTGGTGTTAGGAATGACGTTAAAATATTAAGTGCTGAAGACCCTGGAATGAAACGAATATAATTATTATTTTGAAACGAAAAGGTCCAGCCAGTGGGAGATATCCGAGACTATGAGGTAAGCGGGTCTTCAAGTGAGTCGCCCAACAGTTGTTGGGACAGGTAGTCAACGAAGGTAAAACATTCCGGCGATAGCGGAAGAGAGGAAAGGAGAGGAAAGGGAGGAGAGGAAGGGAAAGAAGAAAGAAAAATTGGTGGAAACTTAAAGAAGACCAAGAAAACAATGGTATGGAAAGCGCAAATGAACATGGTTATATACAGGTAACAAGAGAAAAAGAAACGAAACCTAAAGTAGACGAAGGGAACAAATATTAAGTGTTTGAGAGACCAAAGATTTGATCATGTCCCAAATAAGTGTCAGTGAAAGACAGCTGGTATATAGGAGACACAGAATGTTGAACATCTGCGATGCCAGCTTATTGATTTCATCTCGCCCGTATCCCGACTGGATGGGCGCAATTCCCATTGCTGCACAGCTGTCTATTCTTGGCTCGTTTTCGTACTTTCTAAGGTTTCTTCATCTCTTAATAGGAATGGTGGTGCGACGATATTGTGGAAATTTAGACGAGATCATATTTAGGTCCCCTTAAGCCTAAGAGCTCCAGGGTGAGGGCACTTAGATGTCGACGTATGAAGTCTAGCTCCACGTTGGATATAGCATGCATCTCAAACCAAATGTGAGGTTAATAGACATCAGTATTCTAAGTACCCTTTTTCACAACTTACCATCAAATGACTCAGAGCATAAAGGATCATCGGATACATACGATGTTGGAACTAGACTTAGACTTGTCGATTATGAGCCAAAAACCACTCAAAACACACCACAATTATGCTCCAATTGATTCACATACAACTTGAAAGACTTATATTTTGTACTCAAACATAAAGCTGCTTAATTCTGTGTCAAGGTACTGATGTTATTACCAATTAAAGCATGCGATTGCTGATCAGTTCTTAATATACTACCTGATAAAATCTACAAACTAACATCCATAAATTTTAGTTTTCAATAAAGAAGGGCAACATTCTCTACCACAGTTCTATATAAATTCACATAAGGTACCGACATGTGAAGACGAGGGAAACAACCAACCTTTGGCTATATGTTTAAACCAACCACCATCCAAAATAAATTACATTTGCTACTTTAAACAGTAGCATGAATAATTGAGAACAGCATATTTCAATGTTTTGAACCGCATTTCAATAACATCACAAAAATAAATAATACCCTGACATTTAGTTAGAGTCGGTTCTCGGTATTTGCTTACTTCTCATTCTCCTGGGATAAGCATGGAAATTCCTTCGGCTAAGCCCTAAAGGCGCTGGAATTAATCCTTGGTTGTCGTTCATTTTTTATTGCTTGCATCAACTAGGGTCCTCCAAGAAACACCAGATATCCCTACTGAAAAGACTGCTGGGAAAAAACTCTTCCCCAGTCTCTCACTTGTGGGTACTCGACAAGTATGGGGAATTAGTGCCCAGTCTACTTGTCGACCAAGTTTTGAATAACAACAGTCCCTTAGGTGATGTGCTTGTTTCTTTGCGTACTTTACATTTTTCTGTCGCATATTTATCGTTTGTTTGCTCGCAGTATAAACCCCATGTCCATTTGCAACCAAACTCCCAATACTACACACACCGAACCATCAACACGCCTTATCCAACTGGTACGGCTAGCGTTAAACGAACCAGAAACATGATTTATACGCTTAAACCAACTTCCGATAGCAAAGCACCAAAGATCCACATCGCAACTTTTATTTCCATATGATCACTACCGAAGGATTTAAACAGGCGTTTTGTAGTACATACAGCTAATTCCCTACACTGCTATACGCTGCTCGAAGGAATCGTCTTGAAGGAGACTGGTCTCTCAGATCCTGGAATCTTAGATGAATTGTTTCGCAACACTGACGGAGCAGATAACTAGGCTACTAAAGTTGTCACTCGAAAACAGGAAGTATATTAATTTTAAAATAACTACGGACGATTAAAACCATGGTGATGTCACTTCAACCCGTCGCAATCGATGACCTGGTAATCGCTTTCGATAAATATTGGAGATATCTTGCAGGCCACTATCCAACTTGCATCCAGCTGGCGGAAACCCTGCAATTTGGATAAAGGAATGACAGAGCTATGAAACTGTAGGCAGCTTCCTGAACCTCAGAGTTGTAGTTCACGGCATAACCCAACTTCTGATCCCATAGAGTCAGTTTACATGGCTAATCAATAGCTGAACCTCATGGTGCCAAAACCCTTAAATGGTGTTGGTTCCACAGTATTCAGACTGAGGAAGCGTGGAATGGTCGAAGAGCGTGCACATCAAGAAGTCAGAAAACTGGGCCACTGGTACTCACTGAAAGCTGCCACATGAGGGTTGAAACAGGGGCTTATCATGCGCCACAGACATGAAGACTGCAGTTAGCAATCATGCCGACAGTAGGTCAGTGTTGCGCTTGTCCTTCGATCACAAACGAACATGGTTATGACCTGTTCTTCACATTCACAGGTAGATAGTGCTAACACAACCACGATGTTTAGAAAAAGTATCCGTATCTCAACCTATGCCTATGTAAACCTTTACACTGACTTTCCCTTATGAGTTACGTCCCATTCCCTATCGTTTGCACAGATTTGGTGAGCAACTAAAACTTGTTTGCGGATGCGCGTCACTGACAACTGGTGATGACAAAAAGAAGATATCTATTGGTAAAACCATCCATGTGGGCTAGACGCCAGCCGCAGCAAGAATGAACAATCGACTGGGCTCCCTGTACCAGGCGGTGTTGGGCAACATCCCGAAATCCAAAAAGGCTTCACATGCGGTGCCAAGCATAACTACCAATCTTACACATAAGAATGCAGCCGACAGTCTACCTGTTACATCCGAAGTGCTCCTTCTAGCGCCTAACAATCTCTGGATGATGGAAAAGTCATTTAATCACAAGCTCTAACCAAGCATCATCAAGCTGTCGAATGGTTCTTAGCCATCACCATTAGAGGGGTACCAAGAAAAGTTGACAACCAGTGACATCTGGCTGGTGATTCAGTGTCGCTTGGCGCGGAATCGGTGCCTGAGGGATAACTGACAGCCAACACGCACGTCGTAACCACGACTTCACCCGGTATGGGCGTATTTTCTTGGGTCTGACTAGACGAAACGTACAGTCGGATGCCTCTGACATCAGAAGATACATCGAAAACAACCATCATTACACCTATAAGACGGTTCGAATTTTCGCTCACACCTTTTGGTTCTTGAAATGCAGTACAAACGCTCCCATTCTTCACGAATAATGTCTTTTTTGGTTTTGTTTCGTTTCACGTTTGCACTGGTGACCCTGTTATTGCGAGTTTGCATCAGGAAATTCTTATCAGACACTTGAACGTTGTGTTCAATAGACTAGAAAAGAGTGGTATCCCAGTTAACAGGCAGAAATATCAAGTAGCATCCAAATCGCTCCACTTCCTTGGGCGTACTCAAAAACAAATGGCATATGCCTATTCGCAGATAAAGCGGCCACTAAGCTACACTATCTGAAACTAACCGATGCAAAGCGGCTTCGTACATTTAGCGGCCCTGTAGGTTATTACTGGAGGTTCATTCCTAACTGTGCTTCTTTTATGGGACCCCCAAAAGATCTCCCCCACGTGAATATATAGTGTGTGAATCCGGATACCGTGAGCAAACTGTCCCTATTAAAGGGCGGGGGAGGCACCGAAAACAATCGTTATCTTGCAACATGGCCTCACTACTCCCCGGAGTGTTGCTGTCTATCCATCTGGCCCAGGAACAGGAGTAATCTTGCAACAGCTGACTGAAAAATTAAAGGCCGCCAGTAGCTGTTCATTCAAGGCGGCTGCAAGAAGCGAAAATAGGGCGTGGTGTGTTTGGTGAGGGGCCGCCGGCTACCTGTTGCGCCGTGCGCCAATCTTCGCATTCTGATCCAGGTCGTGAGTTCTTTGTTTACACGGACTACAAACCGCTAACCTTCTCTTTCTGCACATTTAGAGCAGACAAGTCCATAGCTGAGCATTTTCTCTAAAGTCTTCGACAATCCCCATTGAAGGCGGTAACGTTGTTGGGCCGGCTCGCCATCAGAAAAAAATCTCGAAATAAACCATGAGATGCCGTCCACATCTCTGACGTCAAAACTGCGCTCCGTAGAGTCTGGTAGGTACACGACCTTAGGCTTCATTTATACCAGCCAACCACTCCCGAAAACATGTTGATTTCACATCTTCATAATGTTTCGCAAACCATGTCATCCAGGTACAGAAATCACCATCAGGCTTGCCACAAGCCTGGGATGGACAGAGACGCCAAAGAATTGACTCGATCATGAGTAGTTCGTCGAAAGTATGGGACCACCGAGCACATGAAAGCCTTGTAGGCTCTTTTCTGATACCAGGTGCATGTTTCGGTCACTTCCACATGGATATTGTAGGACCCCGACCACAATCTAACGGATGCAATTATCTGTTCACCTGAGTGCATAGTTTTGCAGGATGGTTAGGGATAGTACTCATTAAGAATCTTACTTCTGAAGCCATAGCATGTTTTTGTTGGAAGTTAGATGGCCAGCCTCGGATGTCCATCTTTCATAGCTAACGACATGGGCTCCAATTTCGGTGTGCACCATCTCACGATTTGACTTCACTTCTAGTTTGCACTTGGTTCGCGACGGAAACCTTTTGACCAAGAGTGGATGGTGCGGTAGAGCATTTTCACAGAAGTCTGAAAGTTACACTTTCGGCTGCTAAAACATCTCAGCGGAAGAAAGTACTTCCTGTGGTCTCTGTGGATATCCGGAACGCGCAAAAAGCTGTTGCTAGATGCACCTCCACAATGCTCCCCCATAGAATTACTCTTTGACCACTAGATGAGTTCGCTTCATCTTAAGTTTTCAAAATCGTTATTGAAGTAACATCATACATGACTTGGCATAAAAACCTAACGTCTTCAGCTGGATTTTTCCCCGCTCGATTTCGAACAGCTCATGTCTTCTTCTGCTCCGTTTTACGAAACTGCAGTCACGGGTTTGCTCAATGAGACGTCATTTGCTGACTGAATGAACCGCTTCAATGATGGGCCATTAACAACCATCAAGTGACACGAAAAAAGTGTCGCGGAAACAGCTTCAAACTACCGACTTTAATTGCCTTAATAGTCTGGAGCCAGTTAAAAACGAAAGGAAGTTTGTGAACGATCCGATAAGTTTGCGTTTATCTACTCCCCGTCTATCTTTTGAAAATTCATCTTCAGGCTCTATGGCAGGGCTCCTAGTCCTGGAGTGTTGTATAGAAGATCAGTAGGAATCACATTCAAGAGCAATTCCTAAACTGGATCAGTCGGATTGTCAATCTAGTCCCCAGACTGCCGTAGGAATTTTAACACTAAGCCGGTTTGTTTCGACCGTCGTCGTCATTTCACCGATCCATAAACCAGTTCAGATCGGTTGTCGACTTAGGATCACCTACAACGACTGGAACCACTTGAAGAGGATAGTGATATTGGAATACATTGTCCTACTAAAGGAGAGGGTATCGTCTTGGTAGATGGTAAGCGACATAGCGACAGACCCCTGATGATTCTATCCGATCCAGCCAAGTTTGTGAATCTTGAAGAGAAGACTAACAGGGTACACGGAATTGAGATAACTCACAAGTGCCTCCAAAAACAATAGGGGTAACTAAATGATTGTTTGGGAACTGTCCTGGTGCGAACTTGACAGACGCAGAGGCTGGTCACTAATTATTCGAACTTGTTATATACCCACGAATGCAAGACTAAGGAAGAAAACAATAGCGTAGTCGGATGGAATAGTACATTCGGAAGGCCGTGCCGAGATAGAGATGTGTTCCAGCTGACTGGCTAGAGGGTCGATTGCGAGCGGTGCAACGTACCACCACAGTATGCCAAATGGCCAGGATGCTTGACTGGGTGCCTTCAGCTTAGCTAGTCCAGTTAAACTATCAAAGTCAGCATCAATGTTGAATCTGGTCAAACCCCGGGTCATCGATTTTGGGGAAGTGTGTGACGCTACAGTTACTTCTGGTTTTGTCAGCGTATCCTACCGGTTGGTGTCGTGACTTCATGACTAAGTGGGCTAACACGAACACACCGAGCAGAATTCCCTCTTCATGTGGCCCTG